TGATTGGATGAGGCACATCCACATTGGGGGGGCTGAATTAAACTCAACTCATTGAAATGGTAATCTCTTGAAAAAAAACCTTACAGAGAAACATCTGGTAGAATGTTTGAACTAATATCTGCACTCCGATCAAGCCAAGTTGTGACAGACATTGGCTTTTAGTTTTCTTTTCTTCTAGTGTCTATGTCTGGCTTTGATATCAGGCAGATGCTGGCCTCACAGAAGGATTTTGGAAGTATTTCTTCTACTTCAAGTCTTTGGAAGAGTTTAAGAAGGATTGGAAGGCCAGCCCGGTGGCATAGCTGTTAAGGTCACGTGCTTTGCTTCGGCAGGGGTTTGCTGATTCAGATCCTGGGCGTGGACCTATGCATTGCTCATCCAGCCATGCCGAGGCGGTGTCCCACATAGGGCAAATAGAAGGATGTACAAATATGACATACAACTATTTACTGGGGCTTTGGGGAGGAAAAAGGAAAAAAGAAGGAAGATTGGCAACAGATGTTAGCTCAGGGCCAATCTTCCACAAGAAAAAAAAAGGATTGGTATTCTTTGAATTTGTTTTTGTTTAGTATTGGTATTTTCAGGTTTTCTAATGTTTAATTCTTTGTTGGTAGGTTGCATGTTTCTAGGAATTTATCCATTTCTTCTAAGTTATACAATTTGCATATAAATGGTCATAATAGTCCCTTTCGATCTTTTTGAGACATCTGTTGTAATATGTGCTCCTTTCATTTCTGATTTTACGTATGAGTGTTCTCTCATCATTGTTGGTCTACCAAAGGGCCTCTTGATTTTACTGTTTTAAACATTGAAACTATTGTTTTTCTAATCTCTATTTCTGCTTTAATATTTATTATTCCCTAACTTTAGCTAACTTTGCATGTACATTGTTGTTCCTTTTCTAGTTCCTTCAGGTGTAAATTTAGGTTGTTAATTTGATCTGTTTTATATAACATAGGTGTTTTTCACTATGAACTTCCCTTATGCTGCATCTCATAAGTTTTCCTAAGTTGCCTTTTTATTTTTGTTTTTCTCCTGATTTTGTTTTTTTTGCGAGGAAGACTGGCCGAGCTAATATCTGTCACCAATCTTCCTCTTTTTGCTTGACAAAGATTGTCCCTGAGCTAACATCCGTGCCAATCTTCCTTTATTTTGTATGTAGGGCACCTCCACAGCATGGCTTGATGAGCAGTGTGTAGGTCCATGCCTAAAATCCAAACCCACAACCCTTGGGCCGCCAAAGCAGAGCATGTGAACTTAACCACTATGCAACCGCGCTGGCCCTTCAGATATTTTTTAAATTTCCTTTTCCTTGCTTTGGCAGCAAATATAGTGAATTCCTTTTTGATTTTGTTTTTGACTCAGTGGTGTGTCCAAGTGTGTTAGTTAACTTCCACATATTTGTGAATTTTCACAATAAAAGATTTGAGATAAATAGGCCTTTAGTGTGAGGTGTTATCATCTCTTGAATGGGGGTCAGACTATGTTTAATGTTTGCTGCAGCTGGAGGTGTCAGGGGCTTCATGGTCTGTAGCGACCTTGTACTTATTTGCCTGGTGGGTTTGGGTTTCCCTAGACTCTCATTCTTAAGTAGCGTCTCTGTGTTGCAGGTGTCTGTTTTAATCCACTGTTTTTATCCTGGGGCCCTGCTGATACAGTCTTAGGTATTTGAAAGGGAAAATGTCCTCTTCTGTCTTGATAAAACCTGCAATGTTTTGGTGGTAAAGAATCCCTGGACTACAAACTTCAGAACAAGTTCTTAGCACTTACATTCCCTCCACTTTTGTGAGAGAGGAACCTGAAGTGACTGCAGGTGTCTATCTGCACTTTGCCCACTCAGGAAGGACTTTGGCACATTAGTTTCCTTTGAGGGGTGGTCTACCTTACAGACAATAAAATGCTTTTTGTGTATATGAAAATGTCTTCCCCCATTTTCTACATGAAGCAGAAGGCAACTTTTTCTGATCTTCACTATAAGTATGACATTGGGTTGTTGAAGGAAACATTCATGAATTTGGGGGGCCATCAGACTGGCCCCTGCTAGAGTTTTTAACACATAAGATAATCCATACTGTCTCTCCAACAATCCATCTACAACAGTTTATGTATTCCTAGCAAGTTCCTGGCTACATTCATGTCTCTTCCTGGTACATGGTAATTCTCTATATTCACCTGTCTCTCATTTTCAGGGCATTGTTTGCCATGTAACCTCAAATTTCCCATGGATCTAAGAAGAGGTGTTCCTTTTCAGAGTGTTTAGTATTTTCCTTGTCAAGATGAGAGTGATCATACAGAGCTCTTTACATATCAGAACAGAAAACATCCATTCATGTTTGTTGCTCTGCATTTTCTTTTGTGAGACTCTGCATTTTCACTTATTGATTCTACAACTAGATCCATGTGTGTGGTTTCAGAGGTTCTCTTTGGTGATCAACACACCTAAAAACATTATCACACAGGAATCTGCATTTGGAGTTCCTTTCCTCATCTTATAAAAATTCCCTACACTAAGTACATGCATCACCCCAAATATTTTTCATGGGTTGCATTCTGCTCTATCATTGCCATTTGGGGGGCAGGATTGACACCTTACTTCAAAGGTAATTGGATGGCAAGACTGATGTTGCCACATGCATCTAGTGACTAGAAATATGTTTATTACTCACAGGTACTTTCTAAGGAGAGGACCCCAAGTATAAGCAGGTTGAGGTGGCTTGCGCAAAGAACAATGGTTGGCCATTTAAGGACTGTGGGGTAGAGTCTGCATGTTTTAAAGATTTCACCTTCCTTTCCACTGACACACAAAATAGTGGCATGTGAACCTTCCTAACTTTACCAGTGCGGACTAGGCAGGATGAGCAGATATCTAAAGTTGACTGAGAATCCAATAACAAAGATGAGGTGAATGTCTTTATTAAAGTTCACTCCTGAGGTTTGCTGACTGAATAATGACCATCTGATTTAAATGAATGTTTTGAAGATTAATTTAAAAGCCATATGAAAAACACAAGGGACATAACTAAGACGAAAAAGCCTCAAAAAAATATGACTTAGGGGCCAGCCCTGTGGCTTAGTGGTTAAGTGCCCACGCTCCGCTACTGGCGGAGTTCGGATCCTGGGCGCGCACCGATGCATTGCTTTTCCGGCCATGCTGAGGCTGAGTCCCACATACAGCAACTAGAAGGATGTGCAACTATGACATACAACTATCTACTGGGGCTTTGGGGGAAAAAAAAGGAGGAGGATTGGCAATAGATGTTAGCTCAGAGCTGGTCTTCCTCAGCAACAAGAGGGGGATTAGCATGGATGTTAGCTCAGGGCTGATCTCCCTCACAAAAGAAAAAAATATATATATGTATTTTGAGCAAATGAAAATCACAACGTTTATTAGCATGCAACAGCTTAAAACAGTTGATAAAATATGTCAATGAAACAACTACAGAGGTGTTCATTTCTCAAGGAAATCCACGTAGTTTTAATGACATACAATCAAACATTACTAAACACAAATCAAGGGAACACATTCAGCCACAAGTAACAGGAAACACACAGTCTTCCTGACATGAGAAAAGTGATTGTTCTCACACGGAAGAACTGGGTCAAGGTGGCCACTGCACAATGCAGCAGAGAAACAAACTGCCATGTCCTGCTTTTTATGCCCCATTGTAGATGTAAATGGTGAAGCAGCAAAACATGCTCACTAGCACTATTAACAGCATAAGGTGTTCACCATACAAATTACATCATATACAGATATCATCTAGAAAAGAAGAGAATCAGAGAATACTCCTAACCACAAATATCTGAATTACTTTCCTGGTGGACACAAGAGGCCTTACAGAAGAATCCTAACTCTTAATGTATCTTTGATGTGAAACTTGTGAAAACATCAGTGGAAAATACACTTCTAAGCAAATGGAAATCAAATGGTAGTGGTTTTCAACATACACTTGACCAGACAGGCAAAGAATCCAGAAAATGGGCTGGAAGACGGTGTCCTCAAAGCTCTTACATAACTGTCTCCCTGTATAGTGGCCCCCAAATCTGCCTAATGATTTGTTTGCTTTTGCCTTCCAAATCTTATGTAAGTGAGGCTATAGGTGAATTCCAATATGGAACGAAAAAGAGGATAGATTCTTAAAGACCTAGTTCTTAATATTACCCTAATTGACATAATGCAATACAGGGGTGATATGTTCAGCTCAAGATTTTGTTGCCCTAACACAGGCCTCTAGTTAATTCAAAGTTGATTCAACAAATACCAGTCAGAAGGAGGGAAAAAGAGCAAAAGCCCAAATATGACAATAAGAATTCACAGGAAAGGATACTCTTTGGTAACCTTGCCATGAACAAAAATTTAGTCCAATTGTTTAACAGTACAAAAATGGAAATAGGCTCCTATATGTACCACCCGTGAAAAAGAGAATACTCTAAGAAAGATACAAAACATACAACAGATTCGGCATATGCAGGAACTATAAAACAGGGCCACTAAGAAAATCCTAAAAAACATACAGTGTCATTTTTAACGGCCCCTTAGCACAGAACAATTAAAACATTAAAAAGAAAAAATTATTAACTGATTTAAGGAAAAAACACACTACCTATTAAGCTTATATACTATTGATAAAGGATGAATTGCAAAATTATCTCACCTCAATATTCATCTCTGACAGTAATGATTAGAAATCTACAATCCAATGTTGCACTTCAAGAAAAAGCCTTGGTAAACATAAAATATTTACAACTTTCATAACAACTCTTTCATGTGAAAGTTTTCTAGAATATTATACACTAATTTCCAATAAGCTTTCTGGTATTACTTACATTTATATTTCTTTCTGGTGACAGTTTCACACAGTAGAAGGTGGGCAAATTGAAGTCTTTTCCATGCTATTTACATTCAAGAGATTTCTATTAAATGAGTCCTTCATACTTTCAGAAAGAACTGGATGATAAAAGGCTTTTCCACGTTCGTTATATTTATGAGGTTTTTCATCTAGTGTGCATTCTTGCACATCCTCAAAGGTTTTCATGAGAAATAAAGGCTTTCTCATTTTACTGACATTCATAGGGTTTCTCTACAGTGTGACTTCTCTCATTGCTTTGAAATGATATGTGATAAGTGAATGCTTTCTCACATTCCTTCCGTTCATAAGGTTTGTCTCCAGTATGAGTTCTTTCATGTGTTTGAAGAAAACGGAGAAGTGAAGGCTATCCCACATTCTTTACATTTATAAGGTCCATCTCCAGTGCAAAAAACCATCAGTGACTGAAGGCTTGAGAGATTTATAAAGGCTTTCCCACATTCCTTACATTCAAAGATTTTTATCTCCTGTGTGACTCGTTTCACATATTAAAAATGAATTGGAGGAAAGGAATACTTTCTCACATTCTTATACCAGTAATGTCCATCTATGGTGTGCAAGATCAGCTGTGAGTAAAGGCTTGAGGGAATCATAAAGGCTTTCACACATTCCTTTCATGCATAGGGTTTCTGTCCAGTATGAATTATTGCACGTGTTCAAAGATAACCACAAGTGAATGCTTTACTGCATTTTTTACATTCATAGTTTCTCTCCAGCATGGGATCTTTTATGTACTTGAACACTACTTAGAACCTGAAGGCTTTACCACATAATTTACAAAGGTTTCTTTCCAGTATGAATTCTTTGACATTTCTGAAGTAAACTGAGAGAAATGAATGCATTGATGAGTTTTTTTTTTTAACATGCATAAACTTTCTCTCTAGAATGAGTTCTTTCATGTATTCGAAGAACACTGGGAAAAATGAAGGCTTTCCCACATTTCTTACATTTATAAGGTGCATCTCCAGCATGAATTCTTTCATGTACTCGAAGAGAACATTGAAAAACAAATGCTTTACAGCATTTTTTACATTCATATGGTTTCACTCCAGTATGAATTCTTTCATGTTGTTGAAGATAACCATGAGAAGTGAATGCTTTATGGCATTTTTTACATTCATGCGGTTTCTCTCCAGTATGAATTTTTTCATGTACTCGAAGGAAACATGGAAAAATGAATGCTTTACTGCACTTTTTACACTCATAGGGTTTCACTCCACTATGACTTCTTTCATGTTTTTGAAGATAACTGGAGGAAGCGAATGCTTTACTGCATGTTTTACATTCATAGGGTTTCTCTCCAGTATGAATTCTTTCATGTATTTGAAGAGAACAGGAAGAAGTAAATGCTTTACTGCATTTTTTACATTCATAGGGTTTCTCTCCAGTGTGATTTCTTTCATGCTTTAGAAGAGAACTAGGATAAACGAATGCTTTACT